AGCAATTATGTTTTTTATGGATTCTTTTAACCATTTTCCACCATGTTTCATAATCTTCACCATTTTTGATTTTGACTAACCGCAGACAAGCAACAACAGCTTGATATTGATCATAAATTGTCTGACCACAAGAGACAAACTGAGTGTATGTATGTGTTTTTGCTGATTATTTTGCCAGTTTGGAAGATTGCCAGTGTAGTGTTTAGCATAGTTTGGTGTTGTGCTTGTTATGCCTCTCCTAAGCAGTCAGAGGTAGAAGAATGAAGATAAATATTTTTCCATTTATGTTATTTTTAACTGTTTTAACGGAATCTTCAACTATGTCAAATTCATCCAAACCAAGATATCAGAAAAATAATAGTTTGTAGCCAAACCACAAACCACCTGGCACTACATGCCAACTTTTTTATGTGCGTTATAAACTGACAAACAATACCAGTTGACTGTCACTCCACCTCCTTGTGTGTTAGACTCTCAGGAATGCTGTATCCCTATTATACTGGAGCGTGGGACTCTGTTGCCTGGTGTAGGGAGGCTAGGATGACCCTCAGGAATGCTATTGTTATGTACTCAATTCCCTTTCCAAATGCACTGCGCTCTATCAGACTGATGGTCCTTTTTAGCAGAATGCGATATCCACGGGTACCAGGGGCGAGAGAAGGGAGAATTGGTCCATAAAAAGCCTCAAATAAAGGGCTGTTCTCTCTGCTCCGTCTCCCCTGTCCTGTGCAGGAACGGCAGGAATGTGGCAGGCAGACCGACTGGCCTCGGAGCCTTCAGCCTCTAATGAATTTTAAAAGGCCTTTTTCATTCAAAGCAGGGTGCTGGCTAACAGCATGCCGCCTGGCCAAGCACTCTGGTGGGCAACGGGGAGTAGGAGGAAGGGGGAAGGGGTGAGGAGAGAATAAGGAACACAGGATGGTTTGCGGGAGGGAGAGGAGAAGGAGGACTGGCAAAGCGAGTTGGCACCTAGGCAGGACGGGGTATTGGATGTCCCTCACAGTGAGAGATAATAGGCCACTCTGCATGAGAAGTCACTGTAGGAGCATTCTTGACCCTGCCACGAGGGCTTAAAGAGAATAGAGGGAATGTGAGAGACAGAAGCCCCTTTCACAGAGCCCGTTTAAGGTGGGACTGTTGCACCTTTATTCTGCCTCGACGGTCTGTGTGAAAGGTACAGAAAAGGAATGGAGACGGCATTATTGTTACGCCTTTCAACCGGCTGGTCACAGAGCCGAATCGACATCTGTCTCAAAGGGAGAGCCAGCGTGGCAAGAAATGGCACACCAGATATCAATTATGATTTTGCTGTGTGTACAGTGGCAGTAAACCTTTTTTGGGGGGGGCTTCATACTGAGTTAAGCGCTGAACAACAGTGGTGTGAAAAGTGTTTGCCCCCTTCCTGATTTCCTAATATTTTGTCACACTTGCATGTTTTAGGTCATCAAAGACATTTTAATATTAGACAAGGATAACCCAAGTAAATACAGAATGCAGTTTTTAAATGATGATTTAATTGATTAAGGGAGAAAAGTTATCCAGAACATCCTGGTCCTGTATGAAAAAGTATTTGCCCCTGTTGTTAAATCATGAATTAACTGTGATTATCCATGTTTTTTGGAAAGCTGAGTTCAGTTTCACTAAACACTCAGGTCTGATTACTGGCAGACCTGTTGAATCCAGAAATCACTTAATCAGAACCTGTGTGACAAAGTGAAGCAGGTTCAAAGATCTCAAAAAGAAACGCCTCATGCCACGATCTAAAGAAACACAAGCAAAATTACAAGGTGAATAATTTAGCTGTGTTCAAGTAGACCTACAGCAGACACAGAGATTTAAGATTTAGAAACCGCTTAGTATAATGTAATCATGTGTACCACACGTGTTTTAAGTTCTAACATCTCAGAATACAGCTGCGATGTATAAAAATAAAGCCTCGAGACATAAATTGCAGGTTACCATATCAAAACAGAATCCTCACTGCTCCTACCAGTCTTTATGAGAGCAGAAAAAGTGATTTTATACTCCTGGTTATGCACAGATATATACACAAATATATTACGCAAATGAATTTGTTACAACAGGCTGAAGGGAACCTCAAAATCGGCCATCAACAATAAGCAGAAGACAGATGGAGATGTGAAAGCGGGCCGCACATGAGCCAAGAAAAACTTCCTGCCGCTGCCAACAGAGAGGTGTTTTGAAATACCAAAGCTCATAGAAAATCTATACACACACAAACACACACATGTCAGGTATTTCATATCTGGTGGGGACATCTAACTGACATAATGCTTCCTCTAGCCCCTTACCCTAACTCTAACCATCAAAAATGAATGTCTAACCCTCAACCTAACCATAACCCAATTGTAACCCTGATGCTAAATCCACATTTTGAGTCTCAAAAATGCCTTCACATTGTGGGGAACGGGATTTTGGTCCCCACAAAGATATGAATGCAAGTTCACACAAACACACACAAACAGGTGCATGTGTTTATTGTCACTGTAGTGCTTCTTTTGAGAACGGTACTTCTAACCCAAGCAAGACTGAATCCAAAGGACCTGAAATATTTATTATTATTTGTAGAATATGAGTGAGTGAGTGATTGATTTAAATGAGTTGCAACAACATGTTTGGAGTGTTAACTACACTTTTCTATGTATCTGAATGTTATGAAAAGCATTTCGTCAAAAGTATAAGCATTTTGCCCCAAACTAGTGGCTAAAATCCAGAGCATCCCAGTTTTACCTGTTCAATTTTTTTATGTTGCCAGGGGCCAATCTGTAGTGTGGGCTCTGTGATGCTCTCCACCTGCAGATATTCTGAAAGCCATATCTCCCGAGTCACTCTGGACTTGTAAGCAAGCCTGCTTCTCCCATCAGAGAACCTCACGATTCAAACCCCAATGTCCCAGACAGCAGTCCCCTTTTTAATCTGCTCCTACATAGAGTTGTTTCCCTTCTTGACTTGGTAATACTCCCCTAATCTTGACTGTGAAGATCTGTGATTGGCCAAAGTCTCCAAATACAGAAAACATTTGTACCTACGCCACTGATTTAAAGGAAAACATGTCTGTAGCCTGCCATCTTTGGGTAGGAATATATCTGAACATTCACACTACAATACACTACTGTGTCTTCTCGGTGTGCAGTGAAATGTGGTGACATGTTACTAATTCATTATATTTTTGAAGTCAGATTTTTCTACAAAACCACTTTTTATTCTTGTTTTCCATTTGTACTGAAATTTAATTCAGTCATGTGAGCTTCTATGTCCACATGTGCCACACACAGAACAGCACAGCCCACAGGGCAGATGCTTTCACTTCATGGGGGCCATTATGGTTCATGTGGTGATTGGGGACCCTTTGGGTCAGGTCACATCATCTCCAGTGATTCCAGAGGAAATGCCAGAGTACTGAGGTAGTGGGATGCCTTATATAAGAAGGAAACACTGGCCGGTATGTGAGGCCCAGTAGGTAAAAAGTATGCCTGCTTACATATATAAATAGACACTTCTTTTCAGCTTTGGTGTGCAGACCTGACATCACTAACAGGGTTTTTTCCAACCATATCAATCAGTGTCTGAATTGACTCATTTGACTGAAGTTTTATTATGTGTGATGAATTGGTGATGGCACAAGGAAAAACTTTGCCAGGACATGCCAAGACTCCAACGCCATGACACACAAAGGCAGCATAACACATGAACCGAATAAACATCAAAAGCACAAGATGTCTCTCACCCATCTGGATCGTTCCTCGGGACCTGACTCAACCTTTTATTTCTCACATAACCTATCTACAAACCTAATTAAATAGAAAGCAGAATGTGGCTTGGCAACGCACAAAGAAAAATGAATGGGATTAACTGTTACCTATACAGCTCTTTATGTACCGCACGCTTTTGCTGTCAGAGCTTTTAAGAAACCACTAATGAATTTGTGAACCCCAGTTTCTTGGAAGAACGCTGTGTTCCCCCTGGTTAACTGAGATGAACATGCAATATAGACGAAACACGGAGGATTCCACAGTTTTACTTCTGGAAAGTGAGTGGATTGGAAGTTTGCCATTCGGGTTGTGAATCACTGGGTCATAAAGCCACTTAGTTGTCCAAATGTCCTGCTAGGTGCTAGCGATTCCAGTACACCTGCTTTGGATGCCTTTGTGCACCACTGCTGATGTATGCGCAGGTGAGAAGGTAAATCTGTGTATTTGCAGGCCTCCCCAGTGTTATCTGGAAGCACATGGCAGTCTACCTGGATGACCTCATGCTTTGGCCTTTTGCAGTTGAAGAGAAGCAAAGGCATTATAGTGGCCAGGCTGAGGTCATAGTGAGATAGGGCCTGTGGAAACACTGATGCTCCTGCTAACATGACTGGCCTTGGAAACTACTCCCGCAGGAACCCCAAAAAACAGGACAGTAAAATCGCACTGGGCGGTCAGACAAGAGAGGAGATTAGCTGAAGGTTGAGCCAAAAACAGACCAGCTCTTTCCCCCAGGTTTTGAGTTCAGCAGAGGGGACATACAGGTGAAGTGTGGATTTCCCGTAATATTCCATGAGGGAGATGTATTCCATTATATATGCTAATAATCACCAGGTGGCAGCCATCCTTACATTCCCTTCCTTTTAAGCGTATTAAAGACAGATGACCCAGAACAGAAGGACAGCAGGAAGTATTTGTGCTAAATTTGTGCTGGTCATTCACCGTACCTATTTTTCCACAACTTCTGCCTTGTAAAAGTTTTAATGCACTTCTTACAAAATGACATCATTTCATGGCTCACTGTAATGTCACCATAACCTGTTGGGGAGAAAAGAGTTTTTTTTTTTCATTACAAACAATCTCGTGAACCAGTATTTAGATCCTGGATCATATCATAATATTAGGAAATGCTGAAGTAGTTTACTGTAAGTCATCACAGTTCTGTTTGTTTTTTTTATGTGCACACATGTTTTAACTTTAATTCTGTTTGTGTCCTTGTTTTTCTGCCAGACGGAGGCAATGAAAGGGGCTCTGAAGGATTTAAATCTGAACATTGTGGAAATGACTGATGAGAATGCGACACTGGATGGAGGAGATGTCCTTTTTACGGGTACGTCACTCTGCCTCTTCAATCACTGTATTTTATTGATTATTCATTAACCTTTGTCTGGTCATTCCAAACCAGCAAACTGAGACTTCCCTCTCATTTTTGAGTCCCACAACATCAACGACACCACTTCATAGATCTGAACCAGCCAAGATATTAATATATTGTGGGGATTAGAGAAATATTTTGCTGCTATTGGTCATAATTATCATCATTACCATTGCATTAATAATACAATCTGCAGTATTGTTATTGCATTCAGATGTTTAAACATATTGGCACCCAATTAGCCTTTATTACAGGTGCAGTGATAACCACTTTAAACTGTTGAGTTGAATCTATAATCTTAAATGCTTTTGAATGCTTTTTATAATCTTAAATGTTTATATGCAGATTACATTGCATTATAAAAGAAAGGCCTAACTCTGAGTACACTCTGTGCCAAAGTAGACAGGAAGCGCAGGCTTTTGCAGAGCGTGTTTGTGAAAGTGAAACTAAAGCAGAGTCTAAGTGTGAGTTACTTTGAGGAGCTGTTGGGAGGATGCTATTTGAATAACCAGATTATTCATTATTGTCTTTTATTCATTTATATCTTTTGATTAAGCTTTTAGTAGAGGTTCTTGATTAAAACATTTATTCAACATATTACAGATATAGTTTCAGTTAGGTTATTATGCACATGAGAATTGGCCTCTCTTCTCATAAGACAAAGTTTGTGTGAGGTCGAGCCACACACACACATACACCTGCACACACTGTAGGTAGGCTTATGTTCTAGGTGAGAGTTCAGATGTATTTGCTTGCAACTGCATTTTTGTGCGTGCAGAATTGCTAGTTTGTTGCAGAGCATGGCCCGAGGTTTTGGAGAAGCGAGAGTCAGAAGATGGACAGGAAGCACCTGCCGTGGAGACTGAGACAATGTTCTTTGCAAACTGTGTTAAAAGTCATTGTGGTTTTGATTTAGCGTATGCATGTATTGTATCTGATGACGCATGAGGGGGCGATAACCCTGATGAATCAAAAGCAATCTGAAGTGTCTTTTTGGGCAGAGATCTACAGCTGATGTTTTGCAGTGTGCATCTCCCCACGCTGCGTGAGTTCATTAAAATCATCGTTTGACTCCACCCGGCCGGATCATTGTTGTTATTTTGGAATTCCTCCTTTATCCCTCCTCAATATTTGAACCCTTAACAATATCTAAACATTTTTATGCACATGGACTGAAATCTTGCAGTGCTCCCCCTGCTCAAGGAGGCACATGTACAGGCTCATCTTAAGTTTGTGAGTGAACATCTAAACAATTCAGAGAAAAACTACCTGCTCCCGCTATACTTAAGGGAAGAGAAATAGTGAATATGATCTAAAGAATCCCAATCCTATTGGAAATCTGTGGAGAGAGCTGAAGCTTTAAACTGCCAAGCTGCAGCCAAGAAACCTAAAAGATTTAGAGAGTTTTTGTAAAGACGAGCGGCCCAAAATCTCTTCTGAGATGTGTGCACACCTGGTGGAAACATCTTAATGCTGTGCTTGCCAACTGGTTTCTCCAGTCTGCGACTATAAATGTACAAATTCAGCAGGAGATCTAATACTTATTTCATCCACTGTAAATATCAGCATCCTGATATTTAATCTCTTGCAGTTCATTCATGAATTGTATTTTAAATAACTGGGGGTCGTGCAGTCAAATGGTTCACTGAGCAGTTTGAGGAAGTTACTTTTTTACTTAGACCTGTACAGGTTAAAAAAAAAACTTCACAAAGAAACCCAAGTCCTTAGTTTGTAGCTTAAATTCATCGAGGTTCAGGAATGGCTGTTTTGCTACAGATAAATGTGTATGACCAGAGGCCAACCTGTTGTGTCACAGAGAGAGGTAAAGAGGAGTCATGTGATCCTTTTGTTTCCAGAAATATAGTATAATGCTATCATCTGGAAACAAATAGTGCCTTTTTCATCCTGGACATGCTTTTCAGCCATTCACCATTTTGTTTAAGTTACCTTTTTAAAAAAAAAAAAAAACTTAAACCTGTACACTTAATCTGTGTACAGAAGGCCACCTACATTTTTGTATACGGTGCAATTAAGTATTTAAAAAGTGTTTAAAATAATTACAAACACAAATTTCACAGTGAGGTCTTTATCTTTATATTTAAAACAAAGTCTTTGAAAGCATGAAATGTCTCATATCATGCAAATTTGAAGTCATGACTGTTGGAATAAATATCTTAAGGGATGAGGAGAAACTCTGTAGCTAACAACACATAGTCTAAGGAGCTTGGAAAGAAAAGTGCCTGGACTTCTTTAAGTTGCTTGAAGACGTTTCACCTCTCATCCGAGAAGCTTCTTCAGTTCTAAGGTCCTCCAGTTCCAGACCTTCAGTATCTTCTACTATGATGACCTGGATGACTTTGAACCTTCACAGACATACTAACAACACATAGAACTTGGTGATTTGCTGTGTTTAGGTTGTATGAGGACTACTCTACTTGTTAGAAATGTAGTGAAATGGCAGAGGGTAGCCTCTAGTTCATACTCTGTGAGCAGACAGTTGCGTGTCTGTAAATATGCATCTGTGCTTTGAGATCCTCCACACAGGCATTCCTCCATGTGACCTCGATGACCCGGTGCCTCAGTGAACCTAGCTGTACATCCCACCGACAAACAAAACCGTCATGTGCCATTCTGCACAGTAAGACCACGGTGCAAGCAAGAGCATGGTGGTCTTTTATTCGATTTTCTGTATGTTCACTTACAGTCGTGAGTTAAAATGTGGGTCAGTATCTTCTCCGCTTCACAGACCACTAGGAAAATGCACAGTACAGTTAATTGGGTTTCTAGACACTGGCTCTGTGCTGTTGTTCCTTCCAGCTGAAATTGGTTTCACATGGCAGAGCTAGAAACATTTCCTGTTGGCAAGGCATGTGCTAATGGCTTATAGTGTAAAGGCTCAGCAGCAACATTAGGAGCCCATCCCTTAGCTCAGTGTGCTGCTCAATACCTCGCCAGGCATTCAAGGCTTTCTGCCTATGTGCCACCATACTAACCACAGTTGGCCCCCCTTCGCAGGCATGCATAAAGTACACGGTGTGCTGTCTGGAGTATTCTGCTACTGTAGCTTCTCATGCTTGCTGTATTGCTGGTTTTCTGTTCACATACTTAAAAGATTCTCTCTACAGGTCGAGAGTTCTTCGTGGGACTTTCCAAACGGACCAATCAGAGAGGAGCAGAGATCTTAGCAGATGCATTTAAGGTGAATTTATGTAGCAAAGTAGTGCCTGCATTCTTGCATGGAAATGCAAATAAGTTGGTGAATGTGGGCTACACTTGTTTGTTTGTGCTGCTGTTGGTTCTTTAGCTTGTAACGTCTGGCCACTGAAGAAGATAGAAGTCTCTTTTTGTTTAAAAAGTCTTTGTCATGGACTGAAACAAAGTGTCAGGAATAATGTTTAAGATCCCGAATGCTCAACATTTGTTCAACTACAAATGATCGGGAAAGAAGGGAAGTGGCTGAGGATGAATTGTACCTAAAGATAATAGGCTGAAAAGCATCAAATGTTCTGTTTAGGTGAGGGAAGCTGTAGTCACAATTCTATTTCAATCAATTGTTTCAAGTAAAAGTAAAGGCTTGTCACTGGAAAAGTTCACAACTGATCCATTACATAAGAAGTAAAAGTAGTATCTCAAATATATTTCCTAAATATATTCCTGACCGGAAGGCCTCAGTCAGTACGGATCGGGAACTGCACCTCCAGCACCACCACACTGAGCACTGGGGCCCCACAAGGCTGTGTGCTCAGTCCTCTGCTGTTCACACTGCTGACTCATGACTGTGTAGCAACACACAGTTCAAATCACATCATTAAGTTTGCTGATGACACGACCGTGGTGGGTCTCATTAGCAAGAACGACAAGTCAGCGTACAGAGAGGAAGTGCAGAGGCTAACGGACTGGTGTAAAGACAACAACCTGTCTCTGAATGTTGACAAGACAAAAGAGATGGTTGTTGACTTTAGGAGGACACGAGGCGACCACTCACCGCTGAGCATCAACAGCTCCTCTGTGGAGATCGTCGACAGCACCAAATTCCTGGGCATCCACCTGGAGAAGGACCTCAGCTGGTCCCTCAACACCAGCTCCCTGCACAAGAAAACCCAACAGCGTCTCTTCTTTCTGAGAAGACTGAGAAAGGCCCAGCTTCCATCACCGATCCTGACCACCTTCTATAGAGGAACTATCGAGAGCATCCTGAGCGGCTGCATCACTGTCTGGTTTGGGAACTGTGCCATATCGGACCGCAAGACCCTACAGCGGATAGTGGGAACAGCAGAGAAGATCATCGGGGTCTCTCTCCCCTCTATTGAGGACATCTACACCACACGCTGCATTTGCAAAGCCACCAGCATTGTGGCTGATCGGACACACCCCTCTCACACACTCTTCACACTCCTGCCATCTGGAAAAAGGTACCGAAGCATTCGGGCACACACATCCAGACTGTGCAGCAGCTTTTTTCCACAAGCCATCCGTCTCCTCAGCAAAATGGGAGTGGACTGATAAACACACACACACACACACACACACCCACACACACACACACCCACACACACACACACACAAACATTATCACTCAGCTTAACTCAACTACCTCAAAACATTGAGACTGGACTGACTAACCAAGACAAGCGCAAACACACTGACCTACACCACCAAACTATCGTACACACCAACCTGTAAATGCTCTTTTGCACAGTATTATTACTGGACTTGTTGCACTAACTTCTTTACTTCCTAATTTTTGCTGCTACACTAAGGAATGTTTACTGTTCCTCCACTACCTCAACTCATCATCACAAAACCTTATTATTATGTTACATTGTGTTTTTTTGTCACACTGTCACTTTGTTGCTCTTATTTGCACATTTGCACGTGCACTTTGTTGTCTGCTGTCTGTTAACAAAAAAAAAAAGTCTTCCTTAGATAGTTAGTTTTTGTTAATTTATGTTGTAATTTATGTTAGGTCAGTCTGTCTTGTCTCTGCTAGCCAGCTAACTAGGCCTCTTAGTTAGCTAGTTTAGTGTTTTCTGTTAATTTATGTTGTAAATTTATGTTGCATGTAGCACCTTGGTCCTGGAGGAACTTTGTTTCGCTTCACTGTGTACTAACTGTATATGGTTGAAGTGACAATAAAGCCAACTTGACTTGACAATATGAAAACATTCTTTTTAATAATCTTTTTCTTTAAAGCCTTCTGCAAGCAATTATACATCTCAAACAAGAAAGGAGGAGATAAATGTGATATCAATCATGGAGGCTTTAGGCCAGGAGGGTAATAGTATCATCACTCCATCTTGTTTTTTGTTTTTTTTTCATTAAGCTCTGCTGCCCTTTTTTTCCTCTAATTCCATTCTGTTCTCCATCCATCTCTGCCTCACTCCTTCCTTTTGAGCCATTATATATCTTCATCGTATATAGTCTTCCATCTCTGCTTTCACTTCTTCCTTTGCTGTATTCACTTTGCAAATCCCTCTGAGGACATCCGATGTACCAGTCAGCATTGAGGCTACTTTGTGGACATAAAAAAATACCAGTTGTTGCTAGGAGATGTGAAAACCCTTTCAGGACATCCCACTGAGTGTACATGGAGGTACATTAGCCCTTTTTATTGTAAGCCAGCATTAGCATTCAATGAGTTCTGAATCCCAAAATATATACATAAAGGAGGGTGTAACACTGAATAAAAATAAATAAAGTTTTAAAAGGTCTTTCTACTTTTTATTATTAAGCTCCACTGCGCTCTGAGAGTATTGATTAGTGCAGCTGTAAAAAGTCCCTGTAGCAATTAAGAGTTTGATCCTAGTTCCAGATTTCATCTGCCTTTGAGGCATTTTTAATCGAGTGCTGGTGCAAACTTCTGCCACCTCTGTATATAATGATTAAAGAAAGTAGTTGATGACACAAATGAAGCTGATTTGGGTGAGTAAACCTCTTAATCAGTTCACAGGCACTTTCTTCCTGTCCCATTATTAACCTCAATCATTCCATTCACTCATCACTGCTGTGATGACACACTGTTATTCTCATACTCAGCATTCTCATATCAGTGTCATTACTCAAAAAAGCAATGTATCAAATATTACTCAGTACTCTCTGAAGAAAGTATTTTTTACACTTCCCTTTACAATATTTTTATGCTTCTCAGCAAAGTGGCCTGAATCACACTGCCACATAATTACCAACTGACAATATAGACGTATCTGGGGTCTGCATACACTCAGCTTTAACATTATTCCGCTAGCTTTGTGTTAGCCGTCCAGATGTTTACAAAGAGCTGATGCTATGTCCAAATTGAGGGCAGTTACGTGTTACATTACTGGAAAACTGTAATCACAGTTTTCGGGCAATCATTTTTTGTAGGACATTCATAGTTCCATCAAAAGTTTTATCACAGGTAAAAAGAAACTTCCCGGCTTCCTCCTGCAGCACAAAGACGTGCAGCTAGTTAGGTTAACTGGTGATTCTAAATTGCCCAATAGGTGTTAATGTGAGTGCGAATGGTTGTCTATCTCTCTGTGTTTGCACTGCAACAGATCAGGGATCTTCCCAGGGTGTACCAACCTCTCGCCCTGTGACAGCTGGGATCGGCTTCAGCCCCGCTGTGACTCTAAAAATTGGATAAGCGGAAGAGAATCGATGGATGAAGTTTAATAAGAGATTAATTTCTTTATGCCAATTAAATTTCTCAGAGAAAGACGTGAAAAAAACACCACTTGTTGGGTGTAATGTGTTACGTGGTATGAGGTTGTTTCTGTTTGTTATAAATAAATCCTAATTAGAAAATGCTGATGTAAATCGATAGTGCCATCATCATTAATTGTGCTTCATTCTAGATACTTAATTCATTATTGTGTTACTGAGCTTTTAGATAAATAACATTGGATTGTGCTAATTTTTCCCCCCAAACCTTTTAGTTTTCATTTATTCCATCAGGTTGTGCATAAAGTGTTCTGAGATATAGCTGAGGAAACATTTGTCCTCTTAGACAGAAGTGGACAGCAGCTTTGTTAGGGCCAAATAGTTACGGCCAGACAACATTGTCAAGATACTCCTAGATCAAAAAATGCTGCTTTAAACTACTCGATGCCTTTAGAGGACTTCTAGAGATTCACTCAGTTTCCATGCAGATTTATGTTAGCCATGGCTTGCTTTTCACTACTACATCCATGGGAAAAAAAATACAACATAAAAGCAATATTTCAAGCTAAACCAAGAGATTAGCTTCAGGGAATACTTGGACAAGCAGGCTGCAAACAGGATCACAGTGGTTGGTCACAAAGGTTGAACCTGTCTATCCTGCTGGCTGTTCTTTTAAAGTGAAGATGTTCTGCTTGACCTATTCGTAACACTTTTGGATTCCCTCTGAACAGTCATGACAAATCCAAAAGCTGGCTAACACACAAGTTCAGAGGTGGGTTATACTGTTCAAGAGTTGAACGCATTACCATAGCCTGAATGGCCTTACTGTAGTGCTTCCATCTTCCCATCTGTATCTGATTTGAATTCCTCATTATGGATTCCTCTGTGTTTTCTGTTATCTCTGATAAGACAGGACTTAATGATGCGTCTCTGGCAAAAGACAGTAGGAAAAATCACTTAAGCGTCAATTGTTGTTCTTTCCGTTTTATATCAGATGGATTTCTCCTGTCGCTGTTGTTTTTTCCTTTCATTTTCAAATTAAGGATCACTTTGTTGCCAGGTTATTTAGTAGCCTACTCCACAACTGCATACAGATGTTGATTATCTCTTTATGGTCCGCACAGAGGTCAGAGTAATTGGTGTTATTGATGGGGTCCGTTTATTTTGGAAGTAATATAGAGGTTAAACCGCCTCTTTTCTGCCATGGGTAAGAAGTGCTGACCAGCTCAGCTTGCTTTACCTTTTTTCTTCAGTCAGTCAAGTTTTCAGCTAACAACATGGCAGCTGGTGAAGATGAAAAGCAAGCCTTTCTTCCCTTAAGGATTTATCTTGGTAAGGACGAATGCATGACTTGCATTTCCAATTTTGCACAGAAACTTCCTGTTTATGGATAAGGAATGATAAAAAAATTATACAATTCAGTTGTTCTCACTCGAAATCAGGAAGACATCAGCAAAGGGGGTAATTTAGGTCTTTCATGTGATGAAGTCACAATAACTGGGTGAATTATGGTGTCGTTTTATTGGTGCCATACAAATATTTACTTGAAAACTGTTAGCATATAGTTGAAAGAAAAAATGGGGTGTAATGATGGAAAATGTACACTTCCTTTGTAAGTTTTATGAAGCTGAACGCTATAAAAACCCCTTCAAAACACATTGTGTGATTAAGAAAACATATGGGCGTCTGTTGGAAAAGTTCTTTTCTTAGGTGCGAAGTTGAATTTATAAGGTCATCCAAATGTATTCAGGAACAAAAGGTCTTAGAAAATAAGCTTCGACTCTCTTTATCCTGTCAGATTTTAAATTGCATCTTGGTCTCACTTCAAGGTTTACGAATCACAGTAGGACCCATCTCCGGCTTAAGAAGTCTCTCCCACATGAAGGCCTGAGTCCTTGCTTCTAATGTTTAATCGCTCGATTCCTTCTGCTGGGTAAAACAAAACAAAGTCAGGGGTAAAACAATATTTCCGTTAAATATGCTGCAACTCCAACGTGGCCTTAAGGCTTTAATCCTTGCAAAGAAGGCGGCTTTCAACGGATGTTTTAATGAGAGTTCTTAGTCCAAAATCAACCGTTAAAGGCTAAAGGTAAATGTAAAACTATAGGTTCCAAAACAGTTCTGTTCATCTGCAAAAACAAGCCATATAGCTGTCAGATAGGATTTCTTTAATCCTATTTTTATTGTTTTTTTATCCTTTGGGTCGGAGCTTTAGAAGCCTGTATGATTCTTTTTCTCATTAGAAGTGGTTGCATGAACGCTAAAGTTCTCTGCCTTAGTTTAAACAGCTATGGTCACTGGCAGGCAGGGCCGAGTTTTGCATTTCTGTGCACCAATCAGGTTTTAAAAACGTGTAAAGAAAAATGCGATGGCAGTCACGATGTCGCTATAAATCCAATCAAACCCTCCCACACAGTCTTAACAAATGAGGATGTTTAGCAGTATCTTTAAAGCGATTCTTACGTAAGACACTTAACATTTGAAACGTTCCAGGGGTTCTGTGAAAACCAACCAGAATCCAGGTGTTAATAAAACTGTTATCGCTGCCAGTTCTTCTAAGTACCCTTTATGTAACGTGTGTTTTTGTAACACTTTTAATGGCAACATTTGGTTTGCAGACGTCCCACAGCCAGAAAAAGCCTTTCAGAACTGGCTCCTACAAGGTGCTGCGTAATCTCCCCATGAGCCCTGAGATCAACAGCATCTCTCAGACCATCTTGCTTTTTCCGCTACTGAGCTGTACAATACTTTATTTCAATGCCACTTTAGGCCCCATGATACCACACAGATCACTGCTGAGCTTTTACAATCTACAGTAAAACTTTACACACACATATACATATAGCCCTATATTATAATGAATGATGTTTTAGCTCATTGTTGTACTGTAGTTTAATGGATGGAGAAGCATTGTTGCTGAGTAGTAACGTCCTTTTGTATCATTTGTTTAAAACCGTTCGTTCACCTACATTCAGATAAAAAGCTCTGTCTTATCAGTAAAGAACTACTTGAGGAAACCTGTTAGCAGGTGATGAGAAAGCCTGTTAAATATTTAAAGCTACAAACCCCAAATGATTAGCATTACCTGACCCTGTCCTATCATCATGAAATGAAAGTCATATTATTTGAGCTTATTAAGCGTTTGTAATGATATTGTGTTTTACAGGACTATGCTGTTTCCACTGTGCCTGTGCTCGAAGGCCTGCACCTGAAGAGCTTCTGCAGCATGGGAGGACCAGGCCTTATTGTAATCGGCTCCAGTGAACCAGCACAGAAAGCCCTCAAAGTATGGAGCTTGTGTATGTGTGTTTATGTATGTACACCGTAACTATGCTCTCCCTAGCTGTAGTCATGGAAACCTGTGAATTGATGTATTGGCAGTCTTTTCTTTACTTTGACGCACATTGAAGTAGTGGATCCTTTTTCTTTTTTTTTTTTTTGTTTCATCGTTTGGTTGACATTCTGCTTGATCCGTTAGTATGAACAACCCTGAAAGAATAACGCGACAAGACAGGACATTGCACGTGTTGATTCAGAGCAGACTCCCTTACTTACAGTTTGTTGGCGGCTTCCCACTCCAGGCACATTGAAACCACCTGTCACCTAAATCCATCCCCATTAATTCATATTCTCAGCTAATCTGCGGGGATTGCCCCTGGCGCTCACACTCCAGCTTCAATTACGACTGTATTGTCCTTCCATTAAACAGCTTGAGCTCATTACTGCATAAAAGGCTCCTGTATCGATCGAGCTCCAACAACAGAAACCCGGGGACCGCCAAGACCGAACAGAGGAGACGGCTTACACCCCGACAGAGACGGATCGCTCGTTTGCACCGAGAGTGCAATAAATCTCGGCCCATCCCTCCCATGGAATTATCCCCCAAAATTCCCAAACATTAGCATGTGAACTTTTGCAGTGGCACAAACAAGAGAAATTCAGCGAAATGTGTATTTACACAACACAAAGGCAGGCAGTGTATATATAATTACATAAGTATGAAGACTTACAGGCAAGCACATACACCTTTGGGCTTGACAGGTTCCCTCTGGCAGTATTCCTCATTTGCCTTCTAGTATGATATCTCCCCCTGCTGGCTCAGTACTAAACAGAGTTACTGTAAATCAAGCAAAAGTCGCTTAGTGTATCTCAGAGAACATCAGGCAGCTCTTCCTAAGAAGGCTGAAGTACTCGAGAGAAGCACAAGGTTGGCCCTGTTGGTTTTGTAAGCATGTTTGCATTGCTAAAGTGTTCCCAGGAACCTATGCATCATTGCATAATAGAATTAATTTATAATCCAGTGCCAGCTCATTAAGATTCCTGCCTGTTTGATCACCCCAGTAATTAGCTACTGGGGCGAAGAGTGGCCGCTAGCGAAACTTAATGACAGACTGCTCGCTTTCTAATTATGGCTTACGTCACCCTCTCTCTCGCAACAATTAGCTCCTGTTTTAAAGGGCCTTTAACAGCCCTGGATTTGTAATTAGATAATGTTCTTTGTGTGAGGGAGAACGAGATCTTATGAATGCAGATTTAATGAATCCAAACTGTTCGTTTGGGATGTAGATGCAGCTCTTCTGGCGACGAGGCTCCTTGTCGAATGCAGCAGACACTTTGTGCAAATTAAAGTTGGAGCCCAGCTAATTCATTCTGTCTTTAGGGAGCTGCGCTTTGCTGGCGTTCAAGAAAATTTGGACCTGCCCTTATTTTTATTACGGGGTTGAGTAACGCATTACTCATTTGCAATCACAAAATAGCATCGACGATCTGTAGTTTGTATTTCGGCTATGCTCAGGAAGGCTGAGCGCACCGCGTATCTGTGTTTAGCAGAATGACCGGATGGATTTCATCATCCATCTGTTGCTGTCACTGCCAAGCTTTTCTCATGAAGTCATCATCCCAAAATACAGCCTGTGTCAGAGGCTGCAGCACCCTTTCCCTGTAATCTCGCACTACCCCCCTCCTTCCTACAGCAGACTGCCCGGCAGGCTGTAGATCATCAGTGGCCCCTTCACCCAGCCTAGCTTGATTCATGAGCTCATTGCTCTCTGTTGGTCAGAGTCTGATCTTCACCTCAAGGATGCTTGCACGCTTGAATTTTATAGATAATGAGGTGACGGCATGGTGAAGGTTCTGTTGGAGTTTTTTTTTTTTGATGGCCAAATCCAGTGTTGGAGAATGTAGGTTCCAGATTTGGATTATTTATATATTGAAGCTTTGTTTCTTGTTCTGTTTCTCCCATACTACATACTTACTCCATACCACTGTTACCATGTAAAACAGTCATAGATAAAAATCTAGAGCTAAGTTGACTTTATATCACCTCAGAACCATGATTGTCCGAACAACATTGAACAGCAATCCACCTGATAGCTGTTGCAATATTTTAGTTTGAGCAAATATAAAACTTGGCATTACTATCTAGTCCAGGGGTGTCAAACATAAGGCCCAAGATCCAGAATCGGCCCACCAGGGTTTGGAAAAAGTGGTTTTATAGCTTTTCCTCCCCCATGTGCATATCAAAATAAATAAGTAAAAAATCCTAAGCAAAAAACCCAGATTTTTACTCAGTAAGAAAAAACTAAGAAAAACAAAAATGTAATAATTACAGGACAGTCTGCGCCGTGTACTAACAGAACGTTTTCTGTAAATTTAAACAATTATTTCTTATTCTTATTCTTATCATGTAGCGAAAACAAGACATATCAGTGGAACTGTACTTCTTTTTCTGGCTGTATGTGGCCCATAATGTAAAACAAGTTTGACACCCTGATCTAGACCTTCACAGCATGTTCTAGGTTTCCTCTTGTGATACCACTGTGTCCCTGAATCAGCTGTAGGGGCCGATAGCAGCAGCCTTAAACATTAGATAAATGTCATCTGAAATTTCCTGCATCCTCCCCCTGCGTTTCCTTTTTCTGTGTACTTTTCCACTGAAAACATTACACTGCAGCAATAAAATACTAGACCAGTAATACCAAACATTTATGGTCCATCAACAGGAAGCAATTTCAGTCTCATTTCCTGTCCAGATCTGGAAGCTGCATCAAGTAGTATTTGTCTTGTGCGTGATGCCACCGCTCAGTGAAAAGCAATATTGTATAAGTTTTAAGCAGTTTCTGGGAAGGATTGCTAAAGTGAGCATTAGAAATGTTCACACCAGGTGCCAAGATAAAGATTCTGCTGATTCCCACATAAGGTCCTGGAAATTGTTGGTGTTTTTCTAGACTGCTCAGGTTTGTCATTGCCCCAGAGGGATTTTATTACCATCCAGTAAATATTTAGTTCGAGTAGCTTTTGAATGACTACATTTTGCTGCCCAGTTACCACTCTTGTGTATTAGCTGGACCTCAGCCATTGTTCGAATTAAGTCTGTGTCGATTGACTGTAGTTTAACACTTGGTGAAGATCCAGAATGACGACGTTAAAAGCCACTATTGTGTAAAGGTATCTAGGATAATTTCCTATACGTTTCAGTTCTTTAGGCTTAAGATTTGATTCAATTAAAGAATCTTTAAGTTTAGAAAAACACAAAAGAGGTCTGCCCCCTATATTGATTGGCTGCAGCGTCTGGCAGTGAACAGAAAACCAGCTGTTTCATTAGTCAGGTGAGGATTTAATTGAATTTCATGGATCAAAATTTTACATGAAACATGAGGAAATCTTGCTGTATGTCATTTCTCTTATGCGCATATTTCCCCTTGAATTTAATGAGAAAATGAAGAGTAAAGCAGGAACAACTGGGATCTTAGGTGGAGTCGACATTTTACTCACTCTTAATACTCACGTGTGTCACAGACCGTGTTGGCCCTCACCCTATGGACTTGAGTGTTTTCATTTAGGGCAGTTGCAGTCACATAACACTCCCACGAGTGACCTGGGAATGTCTGATTACGCATCTGCCGACATATGTGCGCACACTGCTGTGCTTCGTCCCGCAGCCCTGCACCCAGGAGTGCCATTTGTAGCTGATGTTTTACCACTTGTACCATTTGTAAATAGAAAAACTCGTTATAGCTGTTAGATGTACAAAAACAGTAGCTTCGTTGACAGTTTGGTGTACTTTTATAATGCAGCAGTCATAATATTACGCAGTGAAATCTTTTTTTATACCAACTCTGTTGGTATAAACAGTGGTTACTTAATGTGTTTGCTTTACATGCTGCACCTTCTAGAGATTTCATGTCCATTTAACAATGAATCTCTTAAGTTTTCTATTGGCTCTTACTAACTGCACACTTGTTTCTCTCTTTACCCTGACCAAACAATGATGGTGCTGCCAGAAACCCTAACATGTGTCATTTCCTGTGTCCTGAATACTTTCCCAGGAAAGCACTTAGAACAGCACATTTGCTGTTTGGATAGGAATAGGTGACTATTCACACTGGAAAAAGGTTGATTTTCTTTTTCTGTGAGTAGTGTGAGTATATTTGACTTATAATGCAATGGACATAATAAAACGTTCAGAGTAATGTATATTTCTATATAATGGTCTTGCAGTAATTGACCTTTTCCAATTTCTATATATGCCTTTGTCTTCCCTGGTGCAATGGATCCTGTCAGTGGGAAGTGAAATGAAAACATCTACAGCCACAAAGCCCACTGTGCTCACAAAGCACCAGTTTTTCTACCACATTTGTAGTAGTGTGTCATCGCATTCTCTCACAGTCACTCCTCTAAACCTTTATGTACGTCAAGCAGACGTCACACTTTTTGGATGCAGTGCAGTAGCCTATATGTAATTGGAGATTATCGAAATTTCAGAAGCAGGACCACGCCTCCAAACACACTCCTTCCGGTTCTCATCTATATAGGTTCCCCCAGTTCTGCCAGCTGTTCATTCTTGTTTACGTGCCCCTCCCTCCCCTTTTCAGTTCTTTAACTTCTTCACTTCTATTTAGTACATGGGGATCTGCCAGGTCCAGGAGCCGTCGCCAGTCCTCTTCGAGGCCTTCCCCAAACCGCAGCTTAATTCATGTCCAAGCTTTCGCCTTTACCTACTAAAATGCTGCCAAACCTAAAATGAGGACGTGGGCCCAGCTATGATAGATGAGATAGATAGATAGATAGATAGATAGATAGATAGATAGATAGATAGATAGATAGATAGATAGATAGATAGATATATGTGTATGTATATATATGTGTATGTGTATATATATATATGTGTGTATGTATGTATATGTATGTATGTTTAATTCAGGGGAAAAATCTCCCTTCTCAAAATATTTTTTCTGAATGTTGACATTTTTTTTTCACTAGCCTTCCCTCCCCTACCCGTCTCCGAGGTAACCATCTGCAGATGTTCTGCTCATAAACATTAAGAGGCACCTGCCTCTCCTCTGGTCATAACATCCTCACCCGCCGACTTCCACCTGGCAACGCGAGCGTCTTCTCAGCCCCCACCGCCGGTCCCACCTTCAGCTCCTTCAGATTACATAAATAACATGACATCTGCTGAGAAAGAATGTCTGTCTGCTCCTGTGTTCTCCATTAACCCACCCGGCCCCCTTCCCCCCCAGGCCCCTGTGGCGGTTTGGCCAGCAGAAGGATGTGGCGCTGACTTTTGGTATTGAGGCCTCACTTCTGAATCAAAATCTCTCATGGCCTGGCTTGTGTCTGTCTTTCTGAACATTATGTGGACTTTCACCTATGCATTTGCCTCAAAGTCTGTTTCCTGTCATGTCTCCTCACTCCCAATTGCGTAGATAATGCAGCAGATGAGTGACCATCGCTACGACAAACTGACAGTACCCGACGACCTCGCCGCCAACTGCATCTACATGAACCTGCCCAGCAAGGGACACGTGCTTCTACACTGCACAGCAGAGGAGTTTCCAGAGAGTGCAAAGGTGCTTTTCCCCATCCACATTCAGCAACTTTGTATCACTGACGATAAAGCACATTCATCCACAATCCTGGCAGGAAGGACCACCGTCAGAACAACCAAATTGGTTTAGCGGTTTAGATTTAAGGAGCACTTGTCTTTGTTGTTGTTCATCTTGTCCAGACCTCTGAGAAAAACAACTGGGGAAAGAAACCCTACAAAAGCTACATGGTTGTTTTAGTGGACCAATGCAGGCTAACCGCAGCCAGAGCTGTAATTTCTTTTTAACAAAAGAACCTGCAGTTTGATGAGAAGTGTCCTTTGTGAGCATCAGACCGCAGGCTAGGAGCCAGAGACATTGAGGTCTTGTTTTTCTCAGAACTTGAGCAAAGTTGTTCAAATCAGCTGCTGTAACAATTGGTTTAATATCATTGACAGGTTCAATGACTTCCAGTTTTACTGTTTTGGTTCACTCTGGCCAGTTTCAAATGTAAAGTGTTAAATCCACTGTGGCTGCCCAGCAACAATCAGCACAAACAGCATAATATGCAGCCAGCTGGTGAGCGTCGCAGACTTCATAGACCAACATTTCTCTCCCGAAAGATCAGGACTAATTGCCCTTTGAATATTAGACTTCTATTCATCAAATATATTGCAAATAAAACGTCTTTGACAAACTTTGAGAAACCGTGTTGGCTCAGCGGCTGTCTCGCCGTGTACATTTTCACTACACGGATACACACAGCTACGTGCTTTCTCAAATATCTCTGAAACATGCAGTGACCTACTTACATGCTGTTTATTTTTCAAGATGTGCCTTTCACCCGTTACACGTACTTGCTACAGTCGCTTGACGTGAATGACATGTTATTGTCTCACCTCCGTCTCTTTGGGGTTTGGACAGGCTGAGCCGTAACTGTTATTTAGATGCTTTGGGGTCATTCCACATCACAACAAGTCAAAAGAATTCTCACAGGATTGAACCTGGCAACCTGCAATCTGCAGAGACAGTACTCAAACCTCAAAATGTACTCTGTGGTTGAAACCTCAACCTCCGCCAGCTATTTTTAGAAGGAAAAATTCACCAAATTATGCGTCTTTGGACTAGAATCCACAGTGAAGACTTTTGTCAACAAGATTAACTGAGGGAATTCAACTTGAACATAATAAAATCTTGAGCATATCATACTTCCCTTTTTGAAAGCACATATTAACAGAACATTTGGAGCACTATTTGAGATATGTATGCTAGTTCCATGAACCAGTTTCCTCTCAAAGGTTCAAATGCTTCAGAAATTGACCTGGAACACAGTTTTGGCTCCAAAAACTGTCTTTTTAGAAATTGTAGCCTGAAGAGAGTGGAAAAATATTAATAGCACAAGATATAACTTCTACTACTTCTTCTTTTGGCTGTTCCCTACAGCAGATCATTTACGTCCATCTCACGCAATGTCTAGCATCCTTCACTGCCACACCAGCCCTCTGCATATCCTCCTTCACGGCATCCATGAATCTTCTTTGTTGTCTTCTTCTTTTCCTCCTGCCTGCCAGCTCTATCTTCAAAACCCTTTGTCCACTGTATCCACTATCCCTCCTCTGTACATGTCCAAACCATCTCATCCTTGCCTCTCTGACTTCTAAGTAAAATCTGAGCATCTCATCCTCCTGTTTTTTGGGTTCGCCACAATCTCCAAGCTATCCATCAAAGCAGATCTCACTACCATCTTCTTAAGCTTTCCTTTCACTCTTGTCTTGCTTCTACTGACTTTCATCCCTCTTCTCTCCAGAGCATACCTCCACCTCTCCAGACTCTCTTCCACCTGCTCTCTGCTCTCACTACAATCACAATGCTGTCTCTAAACGTCACAGTCCACAGAGATTTCTGCCTGAACTTATCTGCTAACATGTCCATTACCAATGTAAACATGAAGGAGCGCAGAGCTGAAGTAATCCCACACCCACCTTAAACCCATCCGTCACTCCTACTACTACACATCTCACCACTGTTTCACTCTCCTTATACATGTCCTTTCCAGCCTCACATACTTCTTTGTCACTCCTGACTTCCTCATGCAGTACCACAGTTCCTTTCTTGGCACCCTATCGGTTGCTTTCTCTACAAACACAAAGACATAGTGCAGCTCCTTCTCTGTACTTTTCCATCAACACTCTCAAAGCAAACATCGGGTCTGTAGTGCTCTTTCTCAGCATGAAGCCATACTGCTGCTCACTGATCATCACCTCTCTTCTTAACAACTCTTCAGCTTCAGCAGCTCTTTCTCATATCTTTATAGTATGGCTCATCAACTTTATCCCTCTGTGATTACTACAGCTCTGCACATAACCCTTGTTCTTTAAAATGAATACCAGTACACACCTTCTCAAATCTCCATTCATGCTTTCAGTCTCCGAGAGATAATACAAGCCGTAATGTAGCAAGGGCAGTTTTATCTGAACTGACTATCCTGTCTAGCACAGTTCCCAGGGGAACTTGTTGCTTGTTCCCTCAGTGAGATGTAGAGATTTGTCAGCACAATTACCAAGACACTGCAAGATGTCTGCTGCTTTCTGATTCTAAACACTGTCTGGCCTGATCTCCGGTCTATTTTTAGTTGGCTCGTGAAGTTACATAATAATTCCACATCAACAAAGGCAGGG